TCAGCTCGACCAGAGCAGCGACTGGCGGTAATACTCCGAGGTGGCGGCCGGTGGCCGGGCATTCTGCGCAGCCGGCCGGCCGGGCGGCGCTCTCCGCCCGTGCCGCGCCGCCGCCGCGCGCGCGCGCACGTTTGTGTACAGGCCGCTCTCGTCCAGGGGCGGCCGTTTCCGCTCCCCGTGTCTCGTCCGGTTTTAGCCTATGTAGAATGTGATGGCTCACAGAGCGGACGCCCGGTGACTGGCCGGCGTCGACGAACAACTGGTGGTACTCTTTCTTTCGGGGAAGTGGTAATAAATTGTGTTGGACGTGACGTGTCGTTCCCGGAGCGTTTGCAGGCTGCTATTATTTGGTGTGGAGAGCCGCGCGCAGGATCATGGGTGTTATGTGTCATTCACGAGAGGGCTTAACGAGTTATTCCACCTTGTAGTTCAAGCTCAAATCTTATTTCCTATTATTTCAATAAACAGAAATATTTTGTTTGTGTTTCGTTGAATAAAGTGCAGTGAGTGAACAGAGGAACGCACTAAATCGGCAGGGTCTTTGAGTAAATTGGGCAACCGAACACTTCATCATTAAAACAAAAGGGCGGATCCATCACATCGTCATTACTTATCTCGCTCTCGCCTAGGGGTGTAAATTAGTTGGTTTGAGGTGCCCAACGTGTGATAAGCTGTGCTCGACCCTACAATGTTCACAGCGAGGGCCTCTATTACAGTTCATCGCAGCTGCTTTATGACTTACGAGGTGCTCTGCCATAGACTGCACATGAATTGTCGCTGTCTACCTCGAACAAGTGAGGTTTTGGGTTTTGGCGAATTACGCTGCCCGCGTATCTTGCCGCGTATAGGGTGGTATCGCTGGTATTGCCAACATTGAAATGCAATAGCACTTATAATTTAATTTTCCGTTAAGTATTTTGTTCCGTAAAATGTCATTGTGTTATAGTGTTCTGGGATAATGGAATCATGACTGCTGAACCGTAGTTCAAATATCCGTTATGTCCACCATCAAATGTCTCGAATTCTTTTTCGGCGAGGTGCCCCAGTTCACAGCGCTCGGCAGCCGGTATCCGCACCTCACCAAGTTGACAATCGTGGGTCAGGCGACGCTGACCTCTCTGCGCGGTCTGGAGACGCTGCCCCTGCTGCGGGAGCTCTGGGTAATCGAGTGCGGCCTGCGGAACATCGCCCACCTCGACCATGCCGAGCGTCTGGAGAAACTCTACCTCTACTCTAACCGGATCGAGGCTATCGACGGCCTGAGCCGGTGCTCGGCGCTTAGCACGCTCTGGCTGGACGACAACTGCATCGGCGCCATCGCCAACCTCAGCCTGCTGCCGGCGCTGCGCGAGCTGAACCTGGCCCAGAACCGCATCTACCGCCTGGAGGCGATCGACTGGGGCGAGAGTGTCGAGTGGCTGAACCTGAGCGGCAACCCGCTGCCGCTGACGGACCTGCCGGCGCTGGCGCAGCTGCCGCGACTCACCGCTCTCCACCTGCAGGACCCCATGTACGCGCCGGCGCCGTGCACGCGTCTGTGCAACTTCCGTCTGTTCTGCGTGCAGCTGCTGCCGCGACTGCAGGTTCTAGACGGCGTGTCGATCACGGAGCACGAGCGGTACACATCCCGACAGCACCTGGCCTCGCGGCTGGTCTACTACCGCGCGCTGCGCCGTCACGTAGCCGCGCGCTGTCAGGAGCAGGTGGCGCACCTCCGCCGAGACTGGCACTCCTTCCTCACCGCCATGGGCACCCGGCTGCGACAGCTCAACGCCAAGCTGGTCGAGGTGGCCGCCGCCGGCGAGGCCGACCCCGGGGACGGCGGCGAGCCTCCCGTCTCCGCCGAGACGCTGGCGGCGTTCCGCGGCGCGATCCGCCGCCGGATGGACGGGGTGACGAGCGTGGCGCGCGGACAGGCGGCGCACAGCAGCGCGCGGCTCGGCATGCTCGTCAAGCGGCGACAGCTCGTGCAGTCGCTGCTGGAGCTAGAGTACCGCACCGTAGGTAACGTGCGCTGCGAGGAGCTGCACGTGGGCGAGGGGCCGGCCGGCAGCCGGGTCTCGGCGCTCAACCGCTACCTCGGCCGCGAGAAGATCGCCCTCTCGGCCACCAAGAACGTGCACCTGATGGCGATGTACAAGGTCAACAATCGCTTCCTAGAGAACGTGATGGTACAGAGCAGTGCGACTGACAAACAGACTCGCGTGCTTGACCGATTTCTGACTACGGACAGAGCCCGAGACATTGACTGGATCCTGGAGGCATGCAAAGGCAACATAATCACCCAAGTGACGGTCAGCACAAACCTGGATGGCGACGAGGCTGCGGACGGTCGGCCTCAGTCGGCGCTGCGCCAGTACTTTGGCTGTTTTCGCGAGGCGCTGCTGGTGCAGGTGCTGGCGCTGCCTCAGGGTAAGACGGTGCCGACGCGCGTGCCGACCTCGCTCGGACCCGACTCCGAGGAGCTGGCCAGTCGGAGGATCATCCTGGCGCCCAAGTTCATCCTGCTGTACACGCTCGGGGAGGTGTACAATAACCGTCCGCTCACCTGTCTGGCCAGCTCGAGCCTGGACGACGACCTGCTCAACTCTGTGTGCCTGCCGACGAGCCGCGCCGAGCGGAGCCCCACGGTGGCGCTGCGTCCCGGCGAGCCCGGCGGCACGTCTGTCTCGCTCTCCGGGAGAGGCATCGAGGCCATCGACGGCTCGGAGAACGTCGCCTGCCTCCGCGAGGTGGACCTGTCGTTCAACGAGCTCAAGTCGGTGGCATTTCTGCGCAACATGCTCCACCTGACCACGCTGGACCTGAGCTTCAACGACATCGATAGCGTGACCGCGCTGCCGATGATGCCCAGTCTGGCGTCGCTGAACCTCTCCTGGAACCGGCTGGAGAACCTGCCGAAGGTTCTGCGCCGGCTGTCGGTCGCCAGTCCGGTGCTGCGGAAGCTGAACATCACGTTCAACCCGTGGCGCGTGCCGGAGGAGCGCCAGTGTCAGATGGTGGCGGTGATGCTGCCGGGCCTGCAGGAGCTGCAGGGTCAGAGTCTCTCCTACCCGGAGTCGGCCGTCACCACGTTTCGACGTCTGCATTGCCCGATGGAGATCGGCGACCTGAGCCTGCCGCCGCCGGCGCCGCCAGCCGAGGGCACCGGCCGACTGGACCCCCGCAAACTGACGGCCATCTGTCTGGACGGCCAGATGCTGCAGAACCTCAAGTGCATCAAGGACGTCCCGTTCTTGCAGAGGTTGTCGCTGAACGACAACCTTCTGACCTCGCTGCGCGGGCTGGAGGCGTTTCCACACCTCGAGTATCTCTCTGCCGACTTCAACGAGCTGGCCGACTTCACGGGTCTGCCAGCGCCGGCGCTGAAGCTCCGTTCGCTCAGCGTGCGCCACAACACCGTCACCTCGCTGTCGTCACTGGCGGAGGTGGGGCTGCCACTGCTGGAGCTGCTCGACATCTCTGGAAACCCGGTGTCCAGTCTGGCCGGCGTCGAGCGGCTGACGGCGCTGACCGAGCTGTACGTGACTGCCTGCCGGCTGAAGGTGCTGTCGGCGCTGACGCCGATCGCCACGTGCCGCCGACTGCGCGCGCTGGACGCCTCGGGCAACCCGGTGTGCGCCGAGCCCAACTACCGCCGGTTCGCCGTGTACCGCTGTCGGCCGTTGCAGATGCTCGACGGCGCCAGCGTCGGAGACGACGAGCGCGGTGAGGCGGTGCGCGCGCTCAGCGGTCTGCTGAGCCAGGACCGGCTGATGGAGACTCTGGCACCGGCGCAGCTGCGCTCCGTCACCCAGTTGGACCTTCCCAGCTGCGGCGTGCGCCAGGTGGAGCTTCCCACCGACTGCCTCCAGCAGGTGACCAGTCTCAGTCTGGAGAACAACGAGCTGACCGTGCTGTCCGGCCTGCAGCGGCTGCCGCGGCTGCGAGTGCTCAACCTCACCAACAACGCAGTGCGCCGGCTGCGGGAGCGCGCCGAGCCACCACTACCGGCGGGCTCGGCGTGTTTCCCGGCGCTCCAGGTGCTGATTCTGGCCGGTAACGGTCTGGTGCAGCTGGGGCCGCTCCAGCTGTCGGTCATGCGCGCGCTCACCACGCTCTTCCTCCATGACAACGAGATCAAGGCGCTGGACGGCCTGTCGCGCTGTTCGTCTCTACAGCTGCTAGTAGCCGACCGGAACCAGCTACAGTCGCTGCCGGCCGAGACGCTCGCCTCTCTGGCTAGTCTCCGAGCTCTACATCTGGAGAGCAACCGCATCCGTCGCCTCCCGTCGCTGTGGCCCCCGCAGCTGCGAGCTCTCTACCTGGCGCACAATAAACTCAGCGAGCCGATGGAGCTGACCCGACTGAGCGGACGGCTCGAGCTGCGGCGCGCCTCGCTCTACAAGAACCCGCTGACGCGCAACGTCAAGTGGCAGGCGATCCTGTGCGCGTCGCAGCCGTCGCTGCAGCTGCTGGATGGATCGCCAGTGTCGGACGTGTTTGGCGGCCGGCCGGCGCTCGACGGGCTCGGAGACGGCGACTCGGCCGACGAGGAGGGGTCGTTCGGTGACCTGATGGGGCCGCGCAGCGTCTGGTGGCGACCTCCGCAGAAGACCGTCTGGGGATTCCGACCCAACGAGGCGCGGTAGCGTACATACCTGCTCTGGCCACTAATTCACTTCGGAGCTCGCAGATGGTTCTGCTGTGTTGCAGAACTTCTCTTGCGAGATGCTTAGGTTGCACGTAAGCGATTCACGCTTTGACCGGTTTATACGTCTATGCTCGTACCTACTGGATGGAAGGTGTCGAAGGTGGTTAGACATTGGATAAGACGCGACGGGCAAGATAGGATAGGGTAGGATAGTGTAGGCCGTAGGGCAGGATCCTCTGGCAGTCTAGTTTATGCATAGGAGGGCTGCTTCCCTGCGAAAAGGCCGGTGTTAGACGATGCTTGGTCAATGCTTTCAGCACTGTCATCGAAAGTTCGAAACTGACGTACGTAGAGAAACATGTATTAATTATTTAACTAACTGTTCTATATTTATTATGATAAATGCATTACATCTATCTAAGACATCTATTTTCGTCGACGGCAAGCGACATTCCTGGAATACATTGGGCCAAAACGCCGGAACACACACTGCGCCGGCATACACAGGTGTAATGCGGGACAGTATACCCCCTCAGGCATCCGACAGACTGCGGGGCTAAGCACGACTTCGGCAGGCACGCTGCATGCGGAAGCTCAGTCTTGATGTCTGAGCTAAGTCTTGATTAGTCTCACGCCTGTGGGAGAGCATCCCAAGACACTTTTCTTTAGTGATGTTTCAAGGAACATAGTTTCAGAATCGCTGCCTTCCGGGACTTTCCAGCTATGATTTTATCCAACTTTGAACAGTTTTCCTGATCGGTCTTGATGAGTTTTTCCGTGTTCAGCCCGAGTCGCTGCAGGCGCCTCATGATACGCCTCAAAAGCCTCTGTGACGGCACTCTGGCTCGTGTCAGCACAAACAGAAGCTGCTCGTTCTCCAGATTCTTCTGCTCGCCGACCCCGCGGTCGGTGCACGACCACACAATAGCGTACCGTTTGTAGTCGGTCTCGAGGACGTTGTAGTTGGCCTCAGTGCCTCTGGACGGCTGTCCGTCGAAGCTGACGCGCAGGCTGGCCTCGCCGGGACGTCCGACCGGTACGGCCTGCCCCCGGGCCTCTGTCGTCGAGCCGTCGGCGATCCGTATGGCGCGGTTGACGACTCCGATCCGCCCCTCGCCGGCGTCCGAGTATTCAGCGCGACTGCAGCGCAGGCCGCGCTGGAACACGGTGAAGTAGCGGGCGTACTCGAACCAATGGCCCAGGTAGCGGCGCACCTGGAACTTCTGCACGATCGGAGGGCGAGGGCAGGAGCCGGGGAACCGCTGCTGGGCCGCCGTCAGAGCGGCCAGCGTCAATAGCAGCGCCAGCGGCACAGCGACACGTGGTGGCGACATGGCGGCAACGAGTCTGACTGGCGCCCCCCACTGTCACCGGGCTTATATCGGCCGACGTCTGTGACAGATGGGTCGAACGTTGCGGAAAGGTATATGCTCCACTTCCCTCTCACCAAATGTACGCACGTCAAAAAGGCACGGGGTAACTGTCACTCGCTATCAAGCTGTCAAATGTCAGCGAATGACAGCTGTCATAGGTGCGTGCGGAGCCACAGGGCTGACCTTTTGCACCCCCACAGGTGACTGGTCACGTGTCCGTCCAATTATGTAATTACCTAATTACGTAAGGGTGGGCAAACTTGGCCACATCCATCTGGATCTGACGTCCGGCCCTCGGCTAGAGTAACTACTCTATGTTATACTGAAGACAGCCCTGGAAAAATAATTATTGTACAACACACGTTTATTCAGAATATTCCACAAAACGCAGCATATGAAAACATCGCTCAATGGGACTGCACGCTTGTAAAAGATCTGTAAGTAGTTATATGCGATCATCTAAGAAAAAAAAAATGTATTCTCACTGACTGTGGTGAATCGAAGAATAGTCCGAACTCCGGCTGCATAAAGTTGTTAACAAAACTTGAACAACACACTGAGGCGCCTTAAATAAATCCTTATCCAGTACGGCATACAAGCCATGAGGTTTCGAGGTACTCGGTATGGAGGAGTTGGTGGTCCACTAGAATGCTCGACAGGATGTCAAGCATCGGAAAGAAACAATGCGCACAGGTCTCAATAATAAAACTCGGTGACTTCCCTACAGCAGCACCATCGGGTATGTCCTCAAAGTCCTAACATCAGCAACATTACCAACACTCAGTGACGTAAAACCGACACATTTGTGATAAAACTGCGCAAACAACGGTGTTCATCGGTAAAACAAAGTGGTTAATATCAAATGGGAAACTGAATAAGCTGCGTAAGATACGCAACTAAAATACAAAGACAGTCATTTAGGTTTATGTAATGGATAACAATTATCAGTTTAACAAAATAAACAAACTCAGTCTACATACAACACAATGTTCGATTCAAGTTCACGATATCTCTTTCACTAAGGTGTGATAAGAAACAAAAGAATACCATGATTGCGGTAGTCGGCTAATGCCATTTCGTATTACATAAGCGGACCCAGCCTGTCAGACCGCTAGCGGCAACGCAAATGCATAAAAATGATGACATTTCGGGAAGGGCAGCCTGTGGTGAGTTATCGGCATGAATGGAAAATAATGAATAGAAAACAATTGCGAGTCGGAAATCTTAGATAGGGCAAAACGGTCGTAATTCCGAAGTAGGATGTTACATAATATAGTTACACACCGACGTTTAGCAAAGTTATAACACATGAAACAATGCGCACAGGTCTCAATAATAAAACTCGGTGACTTCCCTACAGCAGCACCATCGGGTATGTCCTCAAAGTCCTAACATCAGCAACATTACCAACACTCAGTGACGTAAAACCGACACATTTGTGATAAAACTGCGCAAACAACGGTGTTCATCGGTAAAACAAAGTGGTTAATATCAAATGGGAAACTGAAGAAGTGAAAAGTCAGCGGTGGTTCAGTATGAAAAACACCCGATAATACCAGTCTAAGGAACCCCTGTACTATGGTTGTAAACAATGCCTTTATAAACCACATGTCCATCACATTGATCTGTTGGCGGGTAAAAATAGCTTGTGGCTTAAACTTAACAAGAGTTTTGTTAGTCGAGTCTGTCTTGCCTTTAAACAGACTTACGCCTATTTAAAGGCATAAATATTAGAAAGATACAATTGTAGGGGGGGCCTCTCTCCTCATTCGCCCTGGGCTCTGTTGGGGTTGCCCTGGTGCGGGTCGGCTCTGTGCGGACTCTGCTCTCTGCCGTCCGCCCTCGGTGAGGAGTGCATTTAGCGAGACCATTTGAGGCAAGTCGGTCTTTGGCGAACACACAGGCACTGCATCATTGGGTTTCACCGCCACAAAAAAACACAGGGGGGGGGGGCAGTTAAGCGTTTGTTCTGGATCCCTCGGGCATGGTCCATCCCTGAGGATAATAAAAGGGTGCTAGGTGGTCGAACTGATTAACCTAAGCGCAATTGCTCCCGCAGACACTCATCCAGTCTCACACACTTTCACTCATCTGACTCAAACTTGTCCGTATTGCCAAACTGCGACGTCTCGCTTCCCTCCCCCTTTTCCTATCCCTGCAGTCGATCCCACGTCCTAAATTACCTCGGCTCTGGAGTACCCTTGGAACCTTTGAACTTCCACTCTGCCTATCGGAGTTAATCGAAACACATCAATTAATTCTACACGTTCCGCCTATGGGCCCTTTCTACTCATTGATGGTCTACATTTTGGGATCACAAAGCACGTCTTACTACGTATTATCTCGCGTCTTACTGCATCTCCCGACGACTTACGGCGTATAACTCGCGTCTTACAGCGTCCTTGCCCTATAACGACTAAGTGACGACTTACAGCGTATAATTCGCGTCTTACGGTATCGTCCCCCGATAACCGGCGTATAATCGCGACTTACGGTATCTCTATCCGATCACCTGCGGTTATTCGCGTCTTACCGCGTCCTTGCCCTATGATGACGACGTGACGACTTACGGCGTATATTTCGCGCCTTATTACGGCTGGCACCGCTTTATTGCGTATTCGCGACTTACGGCGCGTACCGTCCTGGAACCGGGACTAGCGTCTTACGGCGTAACTTTCCGAGGCACCTCGTATTAAACTGCCGTCGCAGCCTACCTAAATAAACAAATGCACAATGTCCCCCAAATTACCCGACTCACCGCGATGTGGATCCGTTCATCGACTAACTGCGGTCACTGGGTTACCATTGTATCGCATATAACGTTCTCTGCCGCTCTGCCGATGGCATCCACCCTGCCAGTGATGGATACGTCCGAGCTTGACGCAGGCCCTTCCTATATTTAAATTTTACCCGAACTCTACTGGAGTTATTCCCAAACCTATCGAGGTGTAAGTACCAGTGAGGGACCTATGTTCGCGACTTACGGTGTCTCCCCGATCACCTGCGTATCGCGTCTTACGGTGTCTCCCCGACCACCAGCGTATCGCGTCTTACGGCGTCTCCCCGACCGCCAGCGTATATCGCGCCTTACGGTGTCTCCCCGACCACCAGCGTATCGCGTCTTACGGTGTCTCCCCGACAACCAGCGTATATCGCGTCTTACGGTGTCTCCCCGACTACCAGCGTATATCGCGTCTTACAGTGCCGCCCTCCGGTCACAAGCGTATGTTCGCGCTTTACTGCGTGCTCCTAGGTGTCTTAGTGTCCCGTTTCCGTTTGCTCCCATGTAACTAGACTTGGACGTTTTTCAGGTCCCTTCTCCCCAATGATGCGTCCTTACCGGCAGAACTTAACGCGCAGGGGCGTGGTCGCATGCTCCTTCCTCTCTTCCGCCCGGGCTAAACACGTCCTATTATGTCGTACGTTCCATTCCTGTCAGGGGTCTCGTTTCTAATCCTAGGTTCCTGGTTATATGTGCGAGAATATCATGCCTACGCGGTGGGCGAATCGTGAATCCTCCAGCCTCCGAAACTTGTCTCCCGTTCCCGCCTGAGTGACTGTACGTACGTGTAGCTGCGTGTTCATCGTAAGGGTAAGAGAAAGAGAGAGAGAGAGAGAGAGAGAGAGAGAGAGAGAGAGAGAGAGAGAGAGAGACAGATAGAGAAAAGAGAGAGAAAAGGGAGAAAGAGAGAGGAAGCGAGAGATAACGAAGGAGGAAGAGAGAGAGAGATAACGAAGGGGAGAGAGAGAGAGAGAGAGAGAGAGAGAGAGAGAGAGAGAGAGAGAGAGAGAGAGAAAGAGAGAGAGAGAGAGAGAGAGAGAGAGAGAGAGAGTGTAGAGGATCAAATCAGAACACTATTGGCAGCGGAGGAATAATCAGCGTCAGCGGTGCTTTACCGTGCACGGCCCCTCCTGGTGAACGTCACGAGTAAAGGCCCTTTGTTACGAATGGAACGGCCTCCAGCCCGATAGATATCTATTATGTTGTTCACTACGAAACCATTTCCGTCACACTACGAAACCATAATTATCATGCCGATACCGAATGAAATGCCTAATCACGAAATTACCGAAGCCACACAAAACAAGGATCACCAACCTTATGCCGAAATTGCTGCTAATTGACTTCAATGAGTTGCAATTACATCCCCAATATTCATCGTAGCAATATCCTAACGATCGAGGGAACGCTGATTCAAAAGATAGAATCGTAGCGGGGCTTATAAAGTCCCTCCGCTAAAGGCTTTGGCCTGGAAAATAGTGATAATTGCAAGCATTTGCACTTAACAATTGATAAGCATCTTTGCCTACCACGTTGATTTCAATTCCACTGGACTTCACTTTTACGGCAACTCCGGTACGCAAAGTTTAACAATAAACCTGAATACAAGAAAACTGGTTTTATTCAATCAATAGCACATTATCGAGTTTGCATATTTTTCCCAATTTACGTCTCGTTTTCATATCGACGATTTCCCAAAAAAAAAATAATAATTAATGACGCTCTAGCAATGTTACATAGCTGGTAGGTCTCGCCAGGAGATTAGCCCGCAAAACGATTCACGGCCGAGAACCGTCGAATGCCTTAAGGTGCCGGGTGATAAATCATGAAAAAAAACTATCCTTGTTTACTGTGAAACTCAAATTTATGCACGGAGGTTTCGCGAAACCCAAATATAAGTTGAAGGTCAGTCTTTCCCTTAGACTCGAGCTAATTCTCGTAATTGCAAACTCTAAGTGTTAGCGAAACCGGCTTCTGTTTCAATGACTTTCCATCATCACGTTACCCTGAGGCCATCGGTCATCTACACAAGCCGGGTTGACGGTGATCAGTTCTAAACAAGTGTTCTATTACTGAGATCCTTGTGGCCAAGAGCGGTCTAATTAGTTGTTGATCGGGTCGCGCTCAATTGAAGATATCACCAATTATTAGCTAGGCAAAACCTGTCCGTATCTTTAAT